TATTGGCTGGGGGCTGCCCAGCTTGGGCGGGCGGTAGCTGTCCAAGGAAGTGCGAAGACTTCTCCCACCCCAGTTATTCCTACGTCCATCTAATGGGAGTTTGTTGACCGGTGAACTACTCCTCACCGTGTTTATTTACTGGAGTGGCCTCTCCAGGGGTAGGTGTGGATAGAAAAGGAAGCCAGAAAGTGCCCAAGCAGCTTTGTGGGACTGAGCTTCGTCTGGCCTCTACTTCTTGACCTTTCAGACAATTAGATCTACAGCTGTGAACTGGTATCCTGTGTAGCTCGCAGGATCATGGAGGCACGCCAGCTATCGTAGCACGTCAATGTGCAGTCACGTCGTGTTGATTTGGTTTTTTCGACATACGAAATACTTTTTCTCGAGGACATTTCCTTCAACTGGAGCGTAACTTTTGCTCACGTCACCTGCTCCTCCTGACGCACTTGTTTCGATGAAATTCATACTGTGTTTATATCCGAGGTTCACGGACCAGGTGCAAACAGCTGACGGACTGGTTCCTAATTTCCAAATAAATGTCGCATAAAGTGACCTCATGTTCGTTGTTGCATCGGTCACCACTTTACTGGAAATCAGCGAAGTTGAATTCCTCTGTGATTAATGTTTGATCTGACCTGTCGTATATCCACCCTCACGAAACGCGAACTCCGAGATATCTTAGGATTTATGCTCCGTCGCTAGAAATCTCTGGTCAATCTATCACCGATAACTGGATAACTGAATGACTCAACAATATCCCACATTTTCAAGCATTGAACGATGTCTTCATGAATCTTCTCGTGTTCATACCTGTCCACCACAGTATTCATCTACATGATCCACTTTATCAGAGGGGTTCTGTGACCGTGGGTAATGCTAACCTCAGAGAAAGAATTCATAGATCCAGGTTTAAGTTTATCTTCACCACGGATAAAGATTTGAACACCTACTCACCAACAGTTGGTTGGTTGGTTCCCAACTATACATTCGAACAGGTGTACAACCGTGCTCCCTATACAATTGATTCCATGGGAGACATCGAGAGAATGAAAATCAAACGAGGTTGCATGCCCAAATGTGAATATGTGAAACGTTTGTTGTATAGGCTGATGCATTCCCATTCACTCGCAGTCTATTTCGAATGGTCACCCGTAAATGACAAACAGAACTGGACAAGCGGCTACTCAGTTGTATTCGAATCGTAGTTTGACGGATTGAAGTCTTATCTTGAAATTGTGACAGGGTTCAGTAGCCTCGTTGGGATTCGACTTCACACATGGACGCCGCCTACGCTCCTACACAGCTGAACTACGAGACCACACCGATAACACTGATCTTTTCATATTCAAATCGCCCATCCAGTTGCAGTCATTTTTGTCTTTGCATTGAAAAATCAATTAAACAATTGAGATATCCATTGTAGGTAAAATGATTTCCGGTATGTTAGAGTTCATCAAGTATCGTGTTTACCATTTAACCTTTTCCATTAGCGTTAGCTGTGCAAAATGTCTTTGTTACTTGAAGTGGCCCAAGACTATGAAACTCAGTATACGACACGTCAATTTTTCCTCTGTCAACAGTTTAGTTCACCCGTCATCACACGCATCCAGGCACGGTAGTTTTCTGTTTGCTTCACTGTTGTACTTGAATTTCGAGCTCCGATGTGCGGTGTCAAAGTGCATTGATAGATGTTCACTGTCTCCGTCCTAGTGAATCACGTAACACTTACGGAGCCCAAATCTGTGCCCTCAAAATCAGTCCGTGCAAGTATCTTTTAATAAAAGATGACAAGGTTTCAGACCTCGGTATATGGGCGGGTTGCTGGAAGCAGCAGCGACTTGACGAATGCAAAAAGGATCATATAACTAGCACTTCAGTATTCTGTACGAATAAGTTTTATCACGATTTATCTTGCACAATATCTTATTTGCCATAGAGCCGGAGGTATTCTTCAGCAATCGTGATGTTTGTGGGTCACTTATTTTCCCCTTTCAATTTAACTCAGATTCACCCACAAGTGCGAGCTTTTGTTGCTGGCCTAAATGACGTCATCTGTATCGACTGGTTACGCTTNGACGCGGACGAATTACAGACACTGATTTCCGGTGCGGATACTGTGATCGATGTAGACGATTTGCAAAAGCACACCGTGTATCCTCGAGGTAAGTTGAATTATGAGGAAATGACACTGCCCTGGCCAATCTCCTGCTGTGCCCATGTGTCCCGTTCAATCTAGTTCTCAAGCGGAAGGATAAAGTCATTCATGCTAAGTCGGGATTTTTTTCCATCCTTTTTTTTCTACCAAGTTTGACATTCAGAGTATGACGTTTGAATTTGCCCACTCTACTGTCCAGAGGCACCAGCTCTTTTGATGGACTCCTCGTGAGATAGTTAATTACCCACCATTTGAATACATGTAAAGGCGATGGAAATCTCTGTGATGAACGAACGACAAAACACCCTGGATATTTGTTTCATCCTGTTTGGAACTCGTCAGCAGTGCGTACGTTTTGTGTCCCTGCCAGGACTCGAACCGCGAACATTCGGGTTGGGACTTCAAACCCCTGAGCTACTGAATGGACTAATTCTATCACACCACCTAAATTGATTGAGCGATTCGCACAAGGTGATGACTGTCAGCCGTGTTGCTCAGAGGTAAGGGTTTGAAGTGCCAACCCGAATGTTCGCGATTCGAGTTTTGAAAGGGACACACACTGACTGCTGACGAGTCCTTAAATAAGACAAAATAACTGTCCAGTGCTCTTTGTCAGTCATCACAAATATCTCTATCGCATCTAAGTTTTAGATTCGATCGAATGAAGTAATCTTTTTTGGGAGGGCTTATCCCTTGATCGCCTTAGAAAATCTTGATAGGATTAAACACTAGCAGTTGATCTCCGATTTCTACTATGAACTAAGTTTACCGATAACTAAGCTCCTTCCGACTGTTTGTGATATTATTCCATGCAGGTCTACATCCGAATACAATATTTTTCCAAATTATCTATCGTTGATTGAGCACCATCAGCATATTTCTAGAAATGAGAATCCACGGGCGTTTGATGCTCCCCATCCAATACCAGTGAAAATAGTCAATCTGTCATTTTCTTGTTATTTTCAGTGACTCGAGGCGGCGAATTGTATAGAGCGTATTACTATGAAAACGGAAGTATCAATACGGATGATTAATTGCAACCGAGTGACTACCAGATCTCTCTTTCTGTCAGATCTGCCTGATTGTTTTGGTTGAAATAATAGTGCTTCGAATAATCCGATTTGCGTCCATCGAAACAAACAATGCTTTGGCACGGAAAATTAAGATTGGATTAACACTTATATGCACCGAGAACTCCAATGAACCCCTTAATTGATTTAATAATATGAGGCAGGTAATATTGACTCATTGCCGATTGCAATGTGCCTCATACCACACTCTTGGACATGCCAATTGGAGTGAAGGAGCTTTAACGACGAAAAGTTCGACCTGAATTTATCAGTATTGGCTATTGGCATTATATCAAAAAGAAGAAAATCCTATTATTAGGTTACATAGCGACAAACGATCACTCGTGATTTGGGTTGTTTTTTCTCGGTCAGAGTCAGTTAAAAATCCGGGACCGTTACTAAAATGCTGCATTCTATACACAAGTGCACTGGAACGTTTTGCCGTTCATCATAACAAAGATGGCTGGACTAGCATCTTTGCAACACGACAACACCATAGTACCCACATCCTACGTCACGAAGGTATGGTTACCTTTTCGTGCAGTTCGCATTTCGAAGTGGCCTCTTTGCAGTCCTGCGAGCAAGTCAGCTGAGAACCTCGGCCGATTGTTGGCTATACACATATAGAAATGCTAAGGCTCATGATTTGATTATTGAACTAAAGATCTTCTTGAGCTTACATTGGGAACATATTAGCACCACAGTTTGTTAAATGCTGGTCATCAGTTTGCGTGAAGTGGGTTGAGGTGTTGAAGCAAATGGTATACATCACGCTCTATGAGGATCAATGAAATTTCACTAACAGTACGCTCACGTTAGTCGATCATATGCCAAATCGTAGTTGTTTGGATCTAGTGAACATGTGTTTCAATTCAGAATTAGCACATATTACCCAAGGTTTTTTGCGGCATTCTTTTTTGTTTTACACGGTCGATTTTTCTTTACAACAGCTGTTATCAATTCAGCACGTTTTTTACTCTAATGATGATGAGTTTCGCAAAAGAAAATGCACCTTATTTTCTCTCAACTCGTTTTTTAATTGTGATCCTTAAAATGACCCCTTTCTCTCCAAATGTTTTTGTCGGTCAAGATACAACAGATTACAGTGAGACATTGGAACATTTCTGGGCCGTGTTACGCACTCTTTCCGAACAGGACAAGCGGTTGTTCCTGCGTTTCGTCACTGCATGTTCTCGACCACCTATGTTTGGTTTTCGTGACTTACAACCTCCATTTTCAATTCAAATCACCGACGAAGTGGATCGTCTTCCTACAGCAAGCACGTGTATGAATCTGCTTCGTCTGCCTAACTTCCGTGATCCCGACTTGCTCCGGGAGCGTCTGTTGTACGCGCTTCACGCCAATGCTGGATTTGAATACAGTTGAAATGTTCAGTCTGCCTCTATTGGCGCTAATATTTTCCAATTCGATTGCAAAATCAACCTTCTTTGATGGCTGTGCAGTTTGTTCCATCCTCGCAACGTGCACATCCTATCGGTCTCGGTAGTCTCGCGTGCTGAGGTGATCATACAACATTGTTAGCCTCGCATTTGTTGACAAACAAATCAAGGGCGGTCACTTTCAGACACTGTCGCGGTTAGCGAAAGATTGTGCATTCAAACACAAATACACATCTGCCACTCTCCCAATTCGTAATCTGTTTTCTCTTTCCATTCTGTTTTATCATTCACCTACCGCTCCACCCTGCGTACACTCTCACATTTTTGCGACACACGGTCTATTTTTCTCTTTCTCATCGCTTCAGTTCGCGACGATCTCCAGCTCATGCATCCGTCGCATCCAGTTATCAGAAAATACGATGTTTTTGAAACTTGATTTTTGCGTGAGTTGTTCACCTGAAAAATCGTAGAGCATTGGTTACAGTTTATTCACATTTGCCTGAAAGTTTAGGTTGTGTAGAATTCCGCTTTTTGTCAGTAGCTGTCTATTCGGCATGCGGGTGTTTTGTCGTCATAAGGTCGTGTGCATAAAATCATTTTTAAGTCCAAACATTCCTGGTCTCAGTCAACTAATAAAGGAGGCTCGCCACTCAATGTTACTATGTAAGTATTTGCCAAAGATGTATTCATTATGCTCAACTTTTCCACCTGTATCCTTTCTATTCGGGAGGATTGCTTTTTGTGATGACCAAACAGAGCACTGATCATCTGGTCCCACTTCTTTGGGACTTATTGTGTCGCTGCTGGAATTCGACTCCCAACCGTTCAGGTTCGGAGACGAAACCATACGATCGACGGTTGAAAACATTTGGACATGGCTGCTTTAATTAAAACAATCCCATCCATTGTTCAATCTCCGATTTTTGCTGGCTTGCTCAGATCAATTTTTTACAGGTTATTACACGAAGCATGGATCATCTAATTCTGTACTTTACGTTTTGCATATTCCAATGACCCTTCATCTATGGAATGGTAAAACCGAAAAAATGAAGTAAAATACAAGAAGTCCTTTTCTTTCCACTCAGTGGACCTTGAAGAACGGGCTGGTTAACCTGCCCTGATGAACACTAATGTTTACTTTAAATATCAAGCGATTATAAATTCCGAAATAATCCCATTCGAACATCAGAACACCAGTCCGAAAGCGAAC